GTTCTCACAAGTATAGTAGAATGCTATATTTGATCCTCACAAAGATAGCTAGACAGGAACACACACACACACATTTTTCTTTGTGGATAGAAAGTGTGAACAAATTACTTCAGTTGTTAATTATTGTTTCTTTTTCTATTTTTTGCTCATTCATTTTTTAAATCTTAAAATGTATCTTGCACAGAAAGGCAAACACAGGTGTTATATTTGTTATATTTTATTTGAAAATAAAAGCTGTAGGAATGACTTGATAAAAAATGTTGCAAACCCAGGAGACAAGTGAGGGAAAAATATGTGGTTAAAGTTACTGTATTGAAGGAACAGTCAAGTTCAAACACAGTATCTTGCTTTGTTTTTATCACTTGCACATGAATTCGGTAGTTTTTGTGCAAAGCCATTTCTTTCTTCCACAATTAACCCTGCAGTAGTTGCCCTGCAGTAGTCCTTCACGGTCCATATCCATATTAAGATCTCTTTCTGAAAACCATTGAGCTCTTTGGGACTAACCCTTAAATCTATGTTCGGCTTTCTTTTACAGCTACACAGTTAAAATTTTAAGGCTAGAATTTCTTTGTGAAGGCCTTTTTGAGGCTCAAAATGTGGTTTTAGTGTCAGGGTTACAATTAGGTTATGGTTAGGTTTAGGGTAAGGGTCAGGGTTAGGCATTCATTTTTAATGGTTAGGTCAATAATGTCCTCTGATACTCAGATGAGAGTTAACAAGGATATTTATGAACTCAAGTTTCAAGTTTTTTCTAGTTAATTCTCAACCCCATCTTGGATGAAATAGATTCAAATTACACCACCAGTCACCTCAAGGCGCTCAAGATTGAGGGAAATATTTTTCATCAGTAATGACAGCTATTGTTAGAAAACGATTTTATGTTTTTAATATCTGATGGACAATCTGTATTGCAGTTGGAAGACATCAATAATCGTATCAATAATCAATAAACACTGACATGTTTGACTTGAAATGGGTGCTGAAGTAGGGACTAGGTTTTTCTGTAAAATGTAGCAAAAATAGCTCAGTATATGGAAGTAGTCACTCCGTTCATATTCATGTGGCTTTCTGTAATATGTATTAAATGGCCTAAAGATCGAAGAAAGACTAATCTGCTGACTGTCTCATACAGGTCAGTGAACCACAATATGTCTGAGGCTCAATTTGACATACGAAGAACAGGAAATGGCAAAGACAATATGTGCTGTGTGTGCATGTGCATGTGTGTGTGTGTGTGTGTGTGTGTGTTTATGGGTGGGGAGGAGTGGGTTATGGTTAGGAGTAATAGCAGGAGGAGAAATTTTTGCGGGAGGAAATGACCTGAGGCAGTGGAGCTTGTGATTTAGTACACATGATAATAACACAAGATCCTCAGGAGGGGCTCAAATTCAGCTGTGAAATCAAAGTAACATCAATATTATGGACTATGTTTCACTGTCTATGTAAAAAATATTCTCTTTTGTGTTTATATCGGTAGATCACTTTGAACTCTTAGTTGTCAACAAAGACTCTCAGTAGTCTGCTAATGACAGAAATGATTAAACGTAATTCCACCTCAAACAGCAAAAATATTTTGTATAATGGCCACACATTTCGTGATCTGAGCCCTAAAAGCCAACAAAATGCTTTATAACTAATTATAGTATTGCTGTTATTTAAATTATTCAAATATTTAATTAATATTTAAATCGTTAAAGAACGTTGCTGTTACTGTTTGAGAAATGGCCTCACTTTGGCTCAAGAAAACTTTGGTATACAGTATAGTTCATGGTTGGCTTTATGTCTGCAAAGTGCCCAGGTGTTGTGGCCCTGAAACAAGCCCAAATCATCCTCTTTTAGACGTTTTATCTGATTTAGTGCTCAGCTCAGATAAAATAATTAATTGTAGGTGATTTTTAACATTCATGTCGATACTAAAACTGACAGCCTGTAAAGAACCCACCACTTTAATCACTCTCTAGATCTTGTTTTAACATGTGGCATAGAAACCGAACATTGAACAGTGTTTCCTAAAAACCCTCTCTCATTTCCTTAAATTGTGAACATGTCTAATAACTGGTTTGATTTACCTGTCTACAGACATGTTTAACAAAATAACGTGACAATTAAAAACTCTGGAGGATGACACACACCTCCTGAGAGAGGAAAACTGGAGGAATGCTACAGCTGTTTCTTCTCACTGGGAATCCTTCGTATTAGTGTGACAGTGCTTTCTGTTCCCATGAGTGCACCATTTTTGGCAGGCTGGGTAATCACTAAATAGATGGAAAAACATCCAGGCTCCCCAGTGTGGAGAGTAAGATCTGAACCCACTCTGAACAACTGGCAGTCACTGGCTCCCAGTCTTTTCTCTACGCACCCAACTCTTTTATACTCTTTCTTCGTTTGTGATTAGAAGAAGCTTTTAAAATTTATCTGATGCAGATTCAAGTGAATATACATAAAACAGTTGAATTTACTGTGGCAGAAAGTGAGAGCTCAGGATAACAATGTAAGGTCGGACAAATTTTTCTCATGTTGAACATTTTAGAAAATAAAATCCTTAGGATCCTATTTGAGACTGTGATGCAACCAGCGTTGTGACAAAACCGTGCCACAGTATTTTTTCTGCATGTGTGTGTGTGTGTGTGGCTGTTTTGAATAGGCTGATGACAGAGAACAATCTGTTCTCCGGGAAGTAGATGAAGAGCCCTAAGCTCCTGGACTTGAGCTTTTATTCAATCTAGGTCAGGTTTCAAAAAGGTATCGTGATAGTGGACTTGAATGGAAGAGCTTTTTATATGTACATGTTAGTATCTCTATTCTCCTCCTCCCCCTTCAGCCCCGCTGCTGTTTGTCACACAAGGCCAAACCGCCGGAGGTAAGAGAGTATGTACATTTTATCAGGCCAGAGTGAAGCGCACTAATGCAGAAGGAAGAAAAGGAGCCTTTTAATCACTTGAACAACTTCAGAATAGTGGAGTAGCTGGAAATGGCAGCATTACTCTGCATGCTAGGCATATAAATGCCAAGCTGTTTGTGGTAGTCGAAAGAAGGAGCTCGATCTTAAATAACATTTATTGCTAATAAAAAACAACTGTAACTGAGAGCTATTACTACCTTTTTATTGACATTTTACACAGCATCCTATCTTTTTTAAAATGTCAATGTTCAGATTTGTGTTCAACTATTAAAAAATTTGGACTAGTTTTGACACTCAGTCAAACTATCTGTTATTTTTTCTGAAAATCAAGCAAGATGACACCAAAGATTTTCAATTTTATACTATAGGTGCATCTACTAGGAGGCTACGATAGCACTGGAAACCACAAGTATTTTTGAGTCCCTGAGTTTTTTTGTGGTGCTTCATTGCACTACATATTAATACATGCAGAAATAAAGTTGCTTGTAAAAGGATACAACTGCAATCAGTGTGTTTTACTGTGGATTTTTCACAGCCAGCAGCTTTTCATTAGTTAGCAGATACACCAGGCTTTGAGAATAAAAGTTGAAGCCCAAAAAACTACAGCCAAAATGTATTAGCCAGTTGCTTATGTTTAAGACAAAACAAGATTGCACTGAGGACATGGTGTGGAAGGTCATGCACTGGACTGATGAGATTTGTAGTCAGTTCTTGTAGGCAATTATCAGTCTTTAAACATAAATTAATGAGAGCTTGACGGGACGGTGCTTCATCCCTAGTGGATATGTTGTCTTTTTGTTCATTTTTAGTTGAGACTTTCCCTCTGCAACATTATATGCTGCCAATCCTCAGCCTTTTAGCAGTAGGCTGAGGATTGTGCAACATTTTAACAGTCCTTAACTTTGCAGATGTAATTTACATGTATACATCCTGGTGCCAGTACTCTTAAGCCACTTGATTCTATACATCACAGTTCTTAGACTTCTAATAACTGTGATGTATAGGACAGATAGAACAAGATTTACTAAATCAGTCATAGGAATTGACAGTGATAGGAATTAGAGCAGGCACTGCAATAAGGCACGAGGGATGTTGGAGGCCAGGAGAAAGAGGTAGGGAACAAATAACTTGAGAACAGAAGAAGAAATGTGAATACACAGAAAGACTTTGACACCAACACCAGCTATATGTCAATTTAGCAGGACAACCACAGGAAAATGGATGATAATACACAAATCATGGATATATTACAATGAATAAGATGAATAAGTTACCGCTAATAAATACTCCATGTGTTGACAAATGCATAAAAGCCTTGCATAGCTTAAATGGCACCTATTTCTTTCTTTCTTTCTTTAAATTTAGATGTGTGTGTATAGTATACAACAAAAAATGAATATCTTCCTGACAGCAGAATATACAGAAAACTCCAGTGTTCCACCCACAAACCATTTGGCCTGATAGAAACCCCCAAAACCTGTAGATGGTGCTATATTCATGAAGAACCAAAGGCAGAAGACTATACTATGACATGCCAGAAAAGAATATTCTGTTCCAGGTATAGAGGAGCAAAGATTACACTTACAACTCAGATTGGGGTTATAATGAAGGATGCAGAAATAAAGCTGCGCTGCATTTATTTGTTTAGGAAAGCAATTAGGAAAGCCCAGAAACTCCACACAATGCTGAGCACATTGATTTTTCATTCGAGAAAGGCACACCTAAGAGAGCCTGAGGCATTTTGTAGTGAAGAATGATGAGTAGTTATTATTATTATTATTATTATTATTATAAAAAATAAGAATTATAGCTATATTTAAATCGACTTCAGCACTCTGGGGGACTGAAAAAAGATCTGGACAGTGATACTGATGAGTGTTTTGAGTGAGTTTTTATGTGCAAGCCGAATAAGGTGCTAACTCCCTATAATAGATTTTACTTGCAGACTCAAGGCATCTCTAACTTAATGATCTATTATAGCTTCATATGCAATTATAAATGACAACCTATGTCCAGTTCTGTGACACATGTCAAGTAAGATAAACATGAAAGATAAAAAAGATGTATTTAGATTTTTTTCTTTCTTTCTTTTCAGCTTGTGACAATGATCACTGGGGTTCCCACTGCAGTAACAGATGCCAGTGCCAGAATGGAGCTCTGTGTAACCCTATCACTGGAGCTTGTATCTGCACTCCTGGATACAGAGGTTGGCGCTGTGAGGTGTCATGTGCAGTAGGCACCTATGGGAATGGATGCCAGCAGAAATGCCAATGCCAGAATGGTGCTGCCTGTCATCATGCGACCGGAGAATGCAAGTGCCCACCGGGATACACTGGTGCTTTGTAAGTCAGGAGAGATCATTTGTTAAATTGGTTTCCTGCTTCTAATACCAACAGTGACATAAAAGAAAAGGTAGGCACCTATAAGAATGGATACCAGCAGAAATCGTAGATTGGTGCTGCCTGTTATTATGCAACTGGAGAATACCAGAGTGCCCACCTCCATCTAATGCCAACAGTGACATAACATTAAAAGCCTAGTATCTATGGTCATGGCAATTTCATTTATACAGCACATATCATTAATCTTAAACATTGTGTGCACACACTGGACGGTTCTCTGGACTGTTGAAAGATTTGCACCAGATGAGAAGTCTGACATGGTTACGGTGCAAGTCAGAGACCAAAGCACTGAGAGCTTTACAAATTAATAGAAAGATTTTAAAGATAATTCTGAAGTGACTTCAGTAATGATGCTAAAAAACTAGTTCATGCATTTATTATTTCTAGGCTGGAGTATTGTAATTTATTATTATCATGTTGTCCTAAAAACGTCTGCACTGACAGTACTGACAGGGACTAGAAAGAGGGAGCATATTTCTCCCATAGTGGCTTCTATTCATTGGGTCCCATTTAATCCAAAATCAGATTTAAAATCCTTTTCATCACATACAAGGGCTTGAATAATCAGGCCCCATTTTATGTTAAAGACCTCATAGTACCGTATCACCCCAATAGAGCACTTTGCTCTGAGACTACTAGTTTACTTGTGGTTCCTAGGATACTTAAAATTAGAACGGGAGGCAGAGCCTTCAGGTTTTAGGACTTTCTTCTGTGGAACCACATCCTAGTTTGGATTCACTAAAGACACACTCTGCATTTAATCATTAGTAAATATTAATCTCTGGCTCTCTTCCACAGCACGTCTTTTGTCTTGTCTTCCTCCCCTCACCCCAACCAGTCATGGTCACCCCTCTCTGAGCCTGATTCTGCTGGAGGTTTCTTCCTGTAAAAAGGCAGTTTTAACTTCCCACTGTCACCAAATAGGGCATCATAGGGGTTCATATGATTGTTGAGTTTCTCTCCGATCTACCTTAGATTGTAAAGCACCTTGAGGTGACTGTTGTTGAGATTTGGTGCTGTATAAATAAAACGGAATTGAACTGAAATTTAATTGAATGTAGAAATTATGAAAAAAATGTGTAGCAGTGCTGAATAAATAACTACAAGAAATATTCTTCCTTTTACTAGAAACTTTGTTGTAGTAATAGAGCATTTATTAATTTCAGACACTAGTGTTTTGGAGGAACTGATTAGTTTATTAATGGATGACAATAAAAAGGAGTTATACTGATCATTTTTAAATTTTATATCATTGTTGAAGCACAGAATTTTCCATTATATAGATAGATATATAGTATCTACTGTCAGGGGAATAATTATTTGATTGCCCACTGAATCAGTTAGACTGCTCACTTATGAATAAATGAACAGTCTCTAATTTTTATTTGATCACCAAGAAAAACCTGACTCACTAACTGATGGAGAAACCCTAGTTGGGAAGCACAGTAGTAAGACATTACTTCTAGTTTCCCTGAAGGTTTGCACAAAGGACAGATTTCGTCCCACTTCTCTTTACAGAAACTAGAACACACTGTGACTTAAGTGTGTGTTTTTCTTTAACCACTCCTTTGTTGCCTTGGTGGGATTGTTTCCATTATTGTCACGCTGGAAGACCCATCCCACATGTTCTGGGAAAGGGAAAGAGGTTCTCGTCCAAGATTTTACAGTACAGAGCCCAGGTCTATTGAAGTTGTCCTGCATCATTAGCAAAGAGTAATAGTACTCAAAGTACAGTCTTTCCATCTCTGTGCTTGACTATAGGGATAGTGTTCATTTAGGTAATATTCTGCATTTTTCTTCCATCAAACACGGCAGGTCGAGTTGATGCCAGAAAGTGCAACTTTAAAACAAAGTTTTAGTGAAACAAGGGTCAGCACAATTTTACTTTATACTTTATAATTTTATATCTATAAAATTACAAGTTGTCTAACTCAAAGAAAACTCAGAAGTGCAAAGATGTAGTGTTGTTTTCTTTTTCTTTTCTTTTTTTTTGAAGGTGTGAAGAACTCTGTCCACCAGGTAAACATGGGCAGCAATGTGAGGAGAGATGTCCATGTCAGAATGGAGGAGTGTGTCACCATGTAACCGGAGAGTGCTCCTGTCCAGCAGGATGGATGGTACAAACACTAACTGTTCCTTAACTCTTTAAGAAAATTCAGCTCACTAGACATGCTAGTATTTTATGGTAATATGCAAGCATGAACTAAACCAGAGAGAAACTTTTGATACTTTTGATAGGAAGAGAATTTATTTTTGAAGTTATAATTATTGAAGTTATTATTGCAGATTCTGTATACGATAAACACATGTTTGTGCTGTTGTCTGCAGGGAACAGTTTGTGGTCAGCCATGTCCAGAAGGGAGATTTGGAAAAAACTGTTCCCAGGAATGTCAGTGTCACAACAATGGCGTTTGTGTGTCATCTACTGGACAGTGCATCTGTAGCCCTGGATACACAGGAGAACGGTAAGAGAGACCTTTACAACAAAGCCCCACAGTACAGTACAGGGTTTTTTATACCCAAAAATCAGGATATCCTCAATACCAAGCATCTCCATAACTAATAATTAAAGCTCAGAGTGCATAGAAGGGACCTGCAGAACCTTAAGTATTTGAAGACTGTGTGGAGGAATGGGCCAAAATCATACCTGAGCAAAGTTTCTCCATACATGAGGCATCTTATCATCGCCAACAAAAGCGGGTTTTTTTAAGTATTAAATAAATTTCAGTAAGCATGTTCAATGCTTTTCCTTTTGCCATTTCTCATTATTAAACAATTTAATTTATGCACATTTATTGTTTGATTTCTTTGGATGTGTGGATTGGATGGGTTGCTGTTACAGACATCTGGTGAGAATTTCATGTCACCTTTAGAAATATATTTACTTGTGTTCAATACTTATTTTACCCGTTGTACAAACTTGACACAGACAAATGATAAACAGAGACATGACTGACTGGGGAGAGAAGACTAATTTGACACAACTGAACAGGGAGAGCAGACAAATACAGACAGAGAACACAGAACTAGACAGACATGGGAAACAGAGAGGGATCAAAAATGGGAATGACCAAACACAGAGGAACAATGATCAACTACTATCAGAAAACTAAAAAAGCTAAACAGAAGTTCTTTATCAAAATCAAAACAGATCATGAGCTCACAAAAAACTCAAAACCCTCGGTGCAAAACCCAAGGACACCACGAGGCAAAGCAGGATTCAAATGCAGGACTTAGTGTAAAAATTTCAGTGAATTTATTTAGATAGTAAAGAATAGGAATACTCGAGGACCTCCTTAATCCCACTGGCATGTCATCCGTGGAGGAAGCGGAGTATCCGGTCTTTAAGTGATGGCGTGATGAATCCCGCTTCCGGGCCCAAAGTAGTCTGCATTTAATAAGGCTGTTGTGTTTTTAACATGTTTTAATGCTTTGTATCTTGTTCTATTTAATCTCAACAAGCCCCTAAAAACTGTCAGTGATCACTGTTGGCTTCTCTCGGTTTTCATTACCACTAATCATTTTAAAGCTCAGTTTTTAAAACCTTACGATGTAACTACAGCCCAGCCCTTGCAGCAGCATATTAATGACTAACCTCGTATTGTGGATGGATTATCTCAGTTGTTCTCCTGACTGAGGTTTGGTCTGTTTACGGCATCCTGCCATGCGATGGTATTTGCCCCTAACCATTGGAAGCCCTCACATTAACTTTTATCGAGTGGGAAAAATTCCTGCGTTCATTAGCATTTGTCCTCCAGATTTACTGTTTAAGTAATGCTTACATAGCTTTGTCGCACTAGCGATCACGTAGCACATCATTATATATCAGCTAACTTCAGTAACCTTAGAAATGTCGCTGCTGTTTAGTTTTCTGTCTTCATTTATGTTGGAAGTGATAACAGAGCTGTACGTTTGAATTTGTTTCATAAATCCTTCAGTCAGAACATGGTTTGTTATATTTAGATGGAAGCTAGCAAACTAACTCCCTGCTAACTTCTAAAGCCGTTAAATGTCATAAATTCTGTTTTCATGGATGCCTGGATGTTAAACTTAATTGTTACACCTGGTAGAGCAGAGTGCTGATCATTTTATTAGAGAAGAAAGAATTTAGACAGTTTTTCTCTCTCTCAGTAATGCTGCAGTGATCATTTGACTTAGGGACTTGCAGCAGAGTTTGTGCCCAGAAATGTCTAATGACGTCAGACTTAAAGACCGGATAGGGACAAGAGGGACAACTCATCTATCTCTGGGGGTCCCTGAGGTAGTTAAATAACTCCTTGGTGTCAGGGCCCCTGGGGTGGATGAGGTTCACCCTGAGTTCCCGAAAGCTCTTGATGTTGTAGGGCTGTCTTGGTTGGCACGCCCCTACAATGTTGTGTGGAGGGGTCAGGGGCGGTACCTCTGGACTGGCAGATTGGCGTGGTTGTTTCCATCTTTAAGAAGGGAGACCAGAGGGTGAGTTCCAATTATAGGGAGAAAACTCTATGCCAAGGTGCTGGAAAGGAGAGTCTCTCTGTTATTTGAACCTTGGACACCAGAAACACAATGTTGTTTTCGACCTGGTTGCTGGCTATCTAGTGTTGGTTTAAAAAAATCGATTTCCCGATTCAAACTGATTTTAGTTTGAATAATGAAATATCGATTCATTACATCCTGAATCGATTTTTTTTTTTATATAAATGATTTTTGCCAGAAAAATGCCAAAATCTCAGGTTAAAGGTCACTAAACTATTTCAACAACTGCCAAACAGCTAAAACAACAAATGAGAGCAGGTAAATGGATTCTGCAAAAATGCACCTGACGGGCATGGACATGCACGTGCTGAAAGCCGACATCTCACAGAATCTGAAGCTGCAGGTTTCATCACTCTTTGTTTTTACACATAGATATAAAATATGGATATGTACTGATAAATGATCTGAATTATAATATTTCTGACTGTCGAGAGACAGACAATCACACATTCCAGATTTGCAGCCAGTAAAAAACAAATTAACCTTAGGCCTCTTTCCATAAATACGCAACAATTCATATTTCATTTGAGAGAATGGTCATTGATCACCACCTCTTTTTCCTAATCACTGTCTCTGGATATTTCTGTGTCTCTATAAACAGGTGCCAGGATGAGTGTCCCCTTGGTACTTATGGTGCTGCCTGTGCAAAGACATGTAATTGTGAAAACAACAGCAAGTGCTACCACAGCAATGGAATGTGTCTTTGTGAGCCAGGATACACAGGAAAGACATGTGATGTCCGACTGTGTCCTGAAGGAATCTATGGCCTACGTTGCGAAAGGAAATGTCCGTGCTATGTCCAAAGCACTCGTGGGTATGTAGTAAATCATGTTGTCATCTTTGACAAACTTTGATCTGCAGATCAGGTCAGTTTGAAGCCATTTGATTAATGCTGCCTCACGGTTCCCCGAATTCCAAAATATAACTCTGTGTTTCTTTGTATCTTTTGGGTTTTAGCAGTTTGACATGTTGCGTGTATAGATTTGTGTATATGACCGCTGTGTCTGTAGACAACTGAGTGTAGTGATCAGTTAGCCTAGCACAGCTGGTGGGCTGCATGTGTCATTGCAGATAACAGCTGTTCTGCTTCTTTCTCAATGGGACTGCTGTGTCAGCTACACCATCTGTCAGTCAAACTCTGTTGCTATCAAATATAGCCACATTTCACCTGTATTACTACAGTTAACCCACACACTGAAAAATGAAAAAAGTCTTCCTCAGGTATATTGTAATTCATTTTTAGATTTAGATTTTTGATAGTTTGATAGTTTGATTAGGTTTTTTGTTTTGTTTTTGTTTTTGTTTTTGTTTTTTCAGATTTAGACCAAGACAGCTTGAAGAAACACTTATGGCCTGATTTGCCTGTTGCCACTGCTGTTAGGCTTTCAGTATGTTTCCAGTGAGCACTGTTTGGATGTAGAGAAATTGTACAAGCTAAAAGAAAAGCTAAAGCTCAGTCCCACAGGGAAGCATGACAGTGCACTTCATATTTGTAGCTAACTGCAGAAATGCTACTAGTGTGTTAGCTAACCTTTGAGATTAAATACTAGAGATAGTCACTGATCTTAAAAAAAAAAACAGGTCATAGAAAAATTTGTTTCAAGCACACTAAATACTTTAAGTAGGAAATAGTACTGACTAGTAGGAATCTTGACTGTAGGAAACACCTCAACAAAGTTTATAACTATTATCGTTTTCTCTCTTGTCACCAGCTGCCACCCGATATCAGGGGAGTGCACATGTCTGCCTGGTTGGTCAGGTCTCTACTGCAATGAGACGTGCACTCCAGGATTTTATGGCGAGTCCTGTCAGCAGGTGTGCCAGTGCCAGAATGGTGCTGATTGCCACAGTGTCACTGGAGAGTGTATCTGTGCTCCAGGCTTCACGGTAAACCCATATATTAGTATGTGTTAATGCCAGTGAGTGTTTTATGTCACAAATCATAAATATGTGATACATGATATCAGACCTAAGTATACTGCACACGGTACATGCAATATTGTAAGACACTGCTGTAATCATATTGCATGTTTTTTGAAAAGCTAAATTCAGTAATCACTGCAGTTAGTAAGCAGCATAAACAGAGCTGCAAAATGCAAAACCATCTGTTTCCAAATAATAACACATTAATAACCTATGAAGCTAGGCTGTGCTAGGATGCCACCTGTCATGAAATTATTCACTTCTAAGTATCCCACATAACTATTAGAACAAAGTGTAAGTGATTAGGAACAATAGCATAAAAGTGGTGGGCCACATAAAATACTGAGGCATACGGATCACCACTTTTAATAATAATAATGGATTGCATTTATATAGCGCTTTTCGGGGCCCTCAAAGCACTTTACAATTCCACTATTCATTCACTCTCACATTCACACACTGGTGGAGGCAGCTACAGTTGTAGCTACAGCTGCCCTGGGGCAGACTGATAGAAGCGAGGCTGCCATATCGCACCATCGGCCCCTCTGGCCATCACCAGCAGGCGGCAGGTGAAGTGTCTTGCCCAAGGACACAATGACCGAGACTTGGCTCGAACCGGCAACCTTCCGGTTACAAGACAAACTGCCAACTCTTTGAGCCACGATCGCCCCGCAGAGTCAGTAGCTACAGAACTCCAAATTTCCTCTGGCCTTCAGATTAGCTCAAGAACAGCAGATAGAGAGCTTCATGGAATTCCTTTTTCATGGCCCAGCAGCTGCATCCAAGCACAATGCAAAATGTTGGATGCACACTGCCACCGGACTCCAGAGCAGTGGAGACATGTTGACTGGTGTGATGAATCGTGTCTCTTCATCTGGCAATCTGGGGAACAAGTCTAGGTTTGATATTTGCCAGGAAAAATGTATTTGGTCTAACTGCATTGTACCAAGTCTAAAGTTTGGCGGAGGGGGATTATGGCTACCTTCACACTGCAGGTCTTAATGCTCAATTCCGATTTTTTGATCAAATTCGATTTTTTTGTCTGCTTGTTCACGCTACAAATAAAATGTGACAGCAAACACGTTCTAGTGTGAACGCTCAAAGCGGCAAAAGAAGACGTCACACACAACGCACTCTGTTTAGACCCAGACCGAACAGTATTGTTTGACTGATGGCCGTTAATATAAAGACTTTTTTCCTACTTTACGTTTCCCAATTTTGCTTTATGTTATAAAGTTATTTTGTTATTTGCAAGTGGCTGTTTTAGAGAGGAGCGGTGCTTCAAAGGATAGTTGCAGATTTCTGTCAGAATCTGCAGATCATACAGTACAAATAAAATGTTCACATTTCTCCAAAACTGTCTTCCCAACAGTTTCACTGACATCTACACTGGATGGCCAGGAAGCGTTCACGATGTCTTCTCCGTCGCTGATAATTGGCGTCTGTCTTGTGTCAGTGATGTAAAAGACGGATTTAATGCGACATGACCGTTCAAACAGCAGTCGCTTTCTAAAACATCAGATATGTATCGGAAAATGACCCAGGTCAGATTTGAAAATATCGGATTTGTGCTGTTCACACTGTCATACCATGATCGGATATGGGTCGCATAGGGTCAAAAAAGTCGGATTTGATGCGCTTTCGCCTGCAGTGTGAACGTAGCCTAAGTTGTGGGGTTGTTTTGCAGGAGTTGGGCATTCCCATAAACACCTTCCCAGAGGCGTTGAAGCTGTTATAGGTGTAAATAGCAGCTGTTATAGCTACTGTAAACCCTATGCATTAAGAATGGGATGTGAAGGCAGAGGGGTGCATAATTCTGGCAATTTAAATGGGAGGTATTTGGCAATGAAGGAAATGTTGCAGAGTAATGCAAGCAGTATTTTCTGCTGGGAATTGTTAATGCATGTTGTTCATGGGAAATCTATTTGCCTTTCTTAAGTAAGATACATAATACAAGCACAAGTTATACTTCCAAACACTGTGTGGGCCCATTAACCCGCCTGACTGCCTTATTCACAACCATCATTCCAGTATAGATTAATGTTTCAAAAATTACCAACAAACAAATGGATAATGTGAGGCTCTGCCCGTACTGTTATTGCATATGTGGCTTTGTAGAAAGATCTAGTGGCAACAGGTTGAAACGTCGACAAAATGTGCAATTCTGTTTTCAGAAAAAAGCTCTTAATTATTTTCCTTTTTCACACACGTACACATGATAGTTTTGTCTGTCTGGACACAGCTATTTTGGGACTGTTGAAAATTTTAGAAAATCTAAATATTTGCTTCCTTTCCTAGAGTTAGGTTCCCTACTTACTTGTCTCCTACTCTGTAAGTGAAAGCAAAATGGGTTAGCTTAGCAACGAGTGTAGTCAAAGCTCAGAATTATTCCTCACAACGTCAATTCCTTTGAATAATGTAGCTTGTGAGGCTACATTATGTGCTTAAAGAATTGTGTCAAGGCAACCAGTTCTCCAGCCACAGTAGTCGTATCCAAATAGATTCAGTGAGCAATTGTTTGCATTTTGGGTTCTATATAGATGTGGCAATGTGATCCTCATCTATACAGAATCCAAAATCTTAAATCTCCTGCTTATAATATTCTAAGAAGCTGATAGGAAATAGTTTGTTTCATTTTTGCATGTATTACACTGCCATGAAAAATAACATCTAAGAAGTGTTTGGTTGCCTCTCTTTAAGTGGCTATGCAGCTACACTCAAACATTTTAAACAGCCATAATGAAGCTATCCAAAGCTATAAGGCACGCAGAAAAGAAACAAGAGTAAAAGAAGAGTGGCTCAGAAGTCTTTAATGTGCTATGTGACTATGTCAAATACAGTTTGATGAACTGTCCCTTCAGGTCTGTTGATGATCAAACTTTACACAAAAGACAAAAGCAAGCAAAAGTTACCAAAAAATGAAACTGTGTTGTTTTCATCGTCACTGTTAGCATTTTGTCTGTTAATCTTCTCAGGGTCCCATATGTTCAGTGCCATGCCCAGCAGGAACATTTGGTGTGAACTGCTCCTCCAGCTGCAACTGTAAGAACAAAGCTAAGTGTTCCCCCATAGATGGATCCTGTTCCTGTAAGCCAGGTTAGTCACTGTTAATATAACCCCTGCATTTGCTACAAGTTACAGCCATTTCTCTATATAGTTCCCCTGGATTGGTTATTAATATCCTTCTGATAAACACTTGATGAGTCAAATGTTTGACTCATCACATCTAAAATATTCCCAGGTCCATAGTGCACTGTTGCTGAGATCAAGCAGTATTTGCTCTGAATGATAACTGAATATAGGAATCCAAGAATTTAAACTAAAGTCAAAGGATTGCAAAAGTTAAATAAGTATTGTCTAAATTCATGAGCACTGCCTGTAGAAGCCTAGAATGAAAATGCGAGGTCAGAGACTTTGCCTTCATAGTCCAGCAACACCTTTATCTCCTCTGCACACACATTAGAGCCTGCAACACATTTTGTGATGCTCACCTTGCTTTTCTTCACTAACATTTGTTTAACTGATCTTTTTCAATAGTCTCTTTTGTCTCCACAATATAAAAAATAACCTTCATCAATGTCCATAGTTGTGTTTTTATTTCTATGGTACAGTATCATTCTGTGTAGGCTTTCGAGTTTTCTCTCTCCCTCTCTCTTTCAAAACTCGGTCAAATGAAGTAAATATTCTACACTATATTTGAGCACTAGTTCAACTAGTTCAGTTTATCAAATTAATACAAATCTCAGTTCGTGTGTTATATTAATAGAGAAATATTTTGATCTTTGTGCTGCACTGAATAAAAATGCTTTCATAAGTTAATCAAAAGTAAGGTTTACATGTGTTCAAATATAAATTACCTTGTCTAATCAGGGTGGCATGGATTAGACTGCTCCATCAACTGTCCCAGTGGCACCTGGGGTTTGGGATGTGGTTCCGCATGCATTTGTGGGAACGGAGGAGCGTGCAACCCACTGGATGGTCACTGTACCTGTGCTCCGGGCTGGAGAGGAGAGAGATGTGAACTCCACTGTCAGGTGAGTTATAGGATTATATGGAAGCTCCCAAAGTTTTTTGAAAAAGAAAATCATTGTTCTATGTTTTATCACTACTTTCAAAAAAGTGGTATCTTATTAAATTTGTAAATAGAATTCAAACAACAAAAATACAAATCATTTGAATTTTATATTTGAATAAATACAGTACAAAGACAAAATCTGATATTGAGAAGTTTGAACGTTTTTGAACTGTTTTTGGACCTCAGCTTTTAATAACACTAAACATCTGTATTTTGAAACGGAGCCAAACCACACCTCAGACCATACACCATATTTTTGATTATCTTGATAACCAAATGCCGCATGTCATATGAATGAACATGTTTCTACATTTCTTCATGGATTGCCTTGTTTGTTTGTTTTTTCCCCTTAGGATGGTACCTATGGTCTGGATTGTAAAGAACGCTGTGACTGCAATCATGCTGATGGATGTCACCACGCTACTGGTCACTGCCGCTGTTTGGCTGGATGGACGGGTAATACCTAATTACAATGTGCCATGTGTCATAAACTGGCTGTGAAGCAGGCAGCGTAGGACCCAAATGCAGACTCACAGACAGAACTTTAACAAAAAAAACCAAACACAGCTTTTATTATAGGATATAAAATACTGTCACGGCGAGTAAGATGAGCCGTGTGGAGATGATAAAGGAGGATCCAGGCACTTGTAAAGGTGTGAAGGTGGTTTATTGAACACAAAGTACAAAATAGAAAAACGGCAAACGGGACTGCAGACTGTCTAAACTGAGAACAACTAAACTACAAGACACGAACCAGAGCACGAACATGAAGGAGGATGGGCAGAGGTAAGTGACGATGGACAGCAGGGAGAACACACAGATGAAACACGGTGGATACACAGACGGACCAGCGGCTACTACAACAGAAGACACGACTTAAATTAAGTCTGCATGCTAAGATTGTATTCAAAATGCGGAGGTCTGCATTTAACATAATTATTGGGCTTTAAAACTGACACTCTGTTGGGTCTTTGCCTTCTTTAGGAAGATCCAGTATTATGGCCTCTGTCCAGGATGGGACCATTGTTTTTTACTGTAAGGCGTAATTAAAAGCTTATGATGCCTTACTCTCCCTTTTTTTCTTCTTTTTGTGATCTTCACCAGGGGGGGTTGGCAGGGGGCTTTGCTGCTGATCCTCAATTAGACCTCTAAAAAATAGCAATGGACTCACTTCTCCATCAGCATCAATAGATGTTTTGGTTTTTTTCGTTCACATTCAGGATTGCAGTCTTTGATAGTCAAATTAATGTAAGAATGTACTGCAATGATGGAAACACATCTGTGCGTGTGAACAGGTATCCACTGTGACAGCGTGTGTGCAGAGGGCCACTGGGGTCCAAACTGCTCCCTCCCCTGTAACTGTAAGAATGGAGCATCCTGCTCTCCAGATGAAGGAACCTGTGAGTGTGCTCCAGGATACAGAGGCCCAACCTGTCAGAGAAGTAAGTCCTACATCAACACCACACAATACTGTAAAATCATCACATAGGTTGTGGTGAGCTAAAATGATATATAGGTTTATTTAACCTCACTCTGATTTAATAGTTATTATAGTCATCAATAGTCATGATTAATATCAGTGTTGTTAAAAAAAAAAGTCTGGAACAGAAATAAACCTTGTTTTCACATTTGAAAGAAAAAATGAACATCAAAAGCAAAATGTGATATGATTTAAGTCAGAGAACAGCAACTCTTGAGTAAGGTGTGTTTTCTTATGCTTGAATGATTAATGCCAAATGATTAAATGGACTAATAGCATCACTCAGCAAATGGTCAGGTGCAAGGCCTGAACTAAAAATGGGTGGAAAAGAATCAATCTTCCAAAAAGACATTTAAAAGACCTTCAAAAAGCGTGGAGAAGATAACTTCTCTGGCTCCTTTTAACTAAAATATAAATACATTTAAGGTGGCTCAAGAGTTTTGCACAGTACTGTAAAATCCACTAGGATGGTGGACAGAGGAATAAAATTACCACAAAAAATATCCCCTCGCTGTCCACAAATATATGATCCAACAATTTTATAAATTGCATGTTGTGTTTGCTCTGTTTTGCTCGCAGTCTGCTCGCCAGGTTATTTTGGTCACCACTGCAGTCAGACCTGTCCACAATGTGTCCATAGTAATGGACCATGTCACCACATCACAGGACAGTGTGAATGTCTGCCAGGCTTCAAGGGAGCACTGTGTAACGAGGGTGAGTGACAGGCCACATACTGTTGCTTCCAAGAAACAAATGCTGGTCACGTAATTCAACTAGTGTAGTTAAAGGGTTAGTGGTCAAGCTTCCTGTTAATGTTAATCTTTGATGTAATATTCTGAGTAAAGTATGACACATGTTAACACATGTCTATATAGTGTGTCCCAGCGGTCGTTTTGGGAAGAAGTGTGCCCAGAGCTGCAGCTGCACAAACAATGGAACCTGTCATCCTATCGATGGCTCCTGTCAGTGTTATCCAGGATGGATTGGCAGTGACTGCTCTCAATGTGGGTTTACTCTGGAAATAATTATATATTGCAATTTATATATGCTTGATAATGTTACCGCCCTGTATTATTCTTGGTTATGAAAAAATTATTGTGCTGTGAAAGGTTCTTTAGAAAAGATTATTTAGCCATCAACTGGTTCTAGCACTAACATTTGATTATCACATTTTGTAGCTTGTCCAACTGGTCACTGGGGACCCAACTGCATCCACACATGTAACTGCCACAATGGAGCATACTGCAGCGCTTATGATGGAGAATGCAAGTGCAGCCCAGGATGGACTGGCCTCTACTGCACACAGCGTCAGTCAAATTGCAAACACACATACACATAAACACACACCCAAGTTATGTCATTTAGTCCAAATTGTAAATGGTTAAGAGAAAGACAAATTTTTGTTCTGCCATTGTCGAGCATTGCCATGCTCAAACTGAAAAAACAAACGATAAGAAACAATCCAAGGGCGCAAACCTTTCTTGGCAGTTTTTACTTTTTTATAGTATTTCTATATATTAATTTCACTTTCTTTCTTTTGTTTTTTTACTTTAAGAAAATAGTTTAAGTTTGTAGTGCAGTAAAAATCAGATAAGGGTGGCATGACAGATGTTTAGACAAACATTATGTAGGAGTAAGTAAAAAGTATTGATTTGTAAATAACTGGACATGGAAAAGTTGTTATACATGTATATAAATATAACTTGTTATATAATATTATACTACAATTTTTCTAACTAACTTGCACCTCATTCTCTTTCTCTTAGCAATACTTTCTTTAAAGATTTAACACATTTTGTTGTCAACTTGAAAGAAAGGTTATGTATAGGATGTGTACTGTAAAAATGAGATCGGAGGTCAAATGGGACAGGATATTTGATGCAAACTCTAATGTGATATGTCGAATCCCCATATACCAGTATCATTTCCTAAATGTTTCCAATACAAACAAAGGTAGTTCAATAAGGAGAGATAATTTGGAAGAAATGAACATAATTTGTTGCAACAGAAAAATTAATGCATTTGGCAATTAGATACGATGACTCATCATGGCAGAACAGAATCCCAGTGACAACAGGATTTAGGACAGGACCCCTTGGACTTAAGGAGCTTTGATGGTGCTCTGAGTGACTCGGGTGAGGTGGAAATTTGAGGATGCTGGCTGCATGAATGAGAGCATGAGAGGGAGAATGACAGGGCACTGAGCATGGCAGGACCTCAGGCCATGGGGGAGATATCATCTCTCTGAGATTGGGTACCAAACCCGATGAACAACTGGTCCATTGAAGGCTTTGAGTTTGAAAGAAGCTGAGCTGAAAGAGAAGACCATGGCTAAGCTTGAAACCTGGACCCTCCGTGGCCGATTACCAAGCCTTGGCTACCCACTTGGAACGGTATACCAGAGAGATAGTAGCCAGGAGAAAAAGCCAGCTGTTCTCCACTAAATAATTCAATCTGTACTGTCAGTAGCAAAGGAATGATATGAGAAATGCACCACCAAGACTGGAGACGGAGCAATACTGGAATAGCATATGGAAGAAAGATGCTCAGTGGCTGGTGTAGCTAAGAGCAGAACTGAGGGGATTGCACTACATGAACAGTTAAACATTACAGTGGCAGGCATACAAGAAAGATTGTAAAGCATGAGGAGTTTGATAGCCCTGACATGATTCGCACCTACTGGGTAAAACTAACTGGAATCCATGAGTTTCTGACAGCACAATGGAAAAAGCTGCTAAGTGATGAGATGCTGGCTAACTTAAGGCCAGACAGTCCTAATCCCCAGAGGGGACCAGTCACATCTAAATACGATGGGACTGTTAGAAGCCACTGTCATCAAGACAAGTAAGGTCCTTACTGCGAGGGACCAAGCAGCCAAGGCATAGAGGACACTAGAAAAAATGTCTTCAAAAAGGGTTTTCTTTATTTTAACTCTCAAAAAGACAAAATTCCAAAACATACTTAGCAGGCCCATAAAAGAGGTCAACTAAATATAACTCTACAAAAAGTAATTTCCAGAAACTTAAACAAACAAAGTGGACACAACTTAACCCACAAACTGACCTAATTACAAAGACACATGAGGGTAGCTTTTAAAGTGGTTTGGCCAAACCATTTACACACAGTAGGGGGGGAAACAAAAACACACAGTAATATTAACTAAGCACAGAATAACATCAGTAAACCTAAAACACCCCTGTTCCTGATAAGCACATGGTTGGTCCTGCTGAGCAGGCATTTTGTTCTCAGAATCCTGAGTCAAGACAGGAAACAGCCACAGCCCCAAACCAGGTAATTCAAAGAAAGAGAAACATAATTAAACAGAAAACTTTTTTTTTTAAAAACCCACAATGCTATTATGCGCGCGCCTCATAATATCAGTGTTAGGTTTAAATAAAATGATTAATGAATTATATTAATGAAGAAAACTGCAAACCAAACTAATAAAGTGAACAAATGGACTTGATTTACCCATGTGTGGCTGATGCCATTACACTTACCATGAATAGGGGCTTTCATCCCAAATCCAGCACCCTGAGTGACCTTAGTGTTAAAGGTCCAAGTCCAAGTCTGATCCTATGAGTACGTGCCCATGAGTACCCCGCTTATCTCTGAGGAACTATTGTCTCTGAGTAACCTTGCAGGTCAAGGTCAACCTCACCTGTTAACAGCAGAGTCTATATTCCTGATATATAGGCATATAGTCCATGCTATTGGTAACTGACTGGGTTAAGATGGAAGCACTTTTTCCATTAGTACCTACTCCAATCGACTCGACGCAGCTCGAGGCAATACAGCTCGGCTTGACTTTATTTCTATTACAATCGAGTGCCATCTTATGTGTGTGGTGTCCTTATAGCAACACGGTCAAACGTCCTGTGAGGTCATTTGTATGCAACACAAATGCTACAAAATAGGTGGATGTCGAGGCGATGTTTGTACCAGCTGCTGGGTCGATGGCTTTTTGTCAGACTCCGGAAACATGGTGTTGTTTTTGTGAGAACATTTTCCACGTTGGCGGGTTTCAAAAATTGCGGTTTTGGTTTTTGTGAAGAGGACGCTTTCATGACTCATTGAGTGACACAACTTTCAATTCAGTTTCATTTATGCAGCTCCAAATCACAACAACTGTTGTCTCAAGGCACTTTATATTGTAAGGTAGACCCTATAATAATACATACAGAGAAAAACCCAACAATCATATGATTCCCTCATGACCATAAGACTGACTAGCCAATTGATGTCATGCATTCTGTTGATGTCATACTTTTGGATCGCTTTGGATAGCTAGCTTGTCGTTCTTGTATTGACATTTGTGTCCCAGTGGCAGGCGGGTCACATGTTGGCCATAACACAAATGACTAGGTAGCATTAGCAATTTATAGCCAGCAGAATTTGATTAGAGTGAAAATATAAGATTAGGTGGGCCCCATGTGATTTCTTTTGGATTTTAAGGGGGGTGCAGCACTCTTCTCTTTGGGAATGGCTGATCCAGATGATACTGGTATAATCTTGGATAAATTTGTGAAAGGTACTTTTTTAATTTAAAAAACTGCATATTTTAAAAGTACAGAATATAATGACGATAACTTCTTTGCAGGCTGTCCGTTGGGTTTCTTTGGGAAGGACTGCTCTCAGACTTGTCAATGTAGGAATGGAGCCGACTGTGACCACATTTCTGGACAGTGCACATGTCGAACTGGTTTCATGGGGAAATACTGTGATCAAAGTAGGTTACAAGATATTGCTGCCTGTTTTGTTTGCTTTTTTGTGTTATGGTTGTTTTTTTTTAATCATATTAAGTTTCAGTTTTTCTTTTGTTTTTGTTTTACTTTAATCTTGTCTTATTTTTCAAGTTTTTAAAGAAAAGTTGGACGCTGCACTATCCTGTCCTTTGGTGCCACACTTGTGGCACCTTTAGTCAGTCACCTTTGTATAAATACCTCCTGCCTTATATCCCCCATTTTCCAGATTCTCTTTGTTCAACTCACTTGGCAGGTTTTTATTTTTTCTTTGAGCATTCCTGATTATCGATATATCGATATATTGCAAAAAGTATTTGCTCGTTTGCCTTCACGTGCATATGAACTTGAGTGACATCTCATTCTCTCATCCATAGGGTTTAATATGCTGTTGAACCACCTTTTACAGCTCTAATAGCTTCAACTTTTCTGGGAAGGCTTTCTACAAGGTTTAAGGTTTATGGGAATTCTTCCACAAGCGCATTTATGAGACCAGACACTCATACTGGACAAGAAGGTCTAGCTTTGCTTTAATTCATCCCTTTCTGTTCTTTTGGGTTGAGGTCAGGACTCCGTTGTAGAAGATCTTGACTAACCTGCACAGAGCTTGGCCTGGCTCGCAGTCTCTGCTCTAAATGATCCCTTTCTATCAGTTCTAACGAGCTAAGGTCAGGACTTGCTCACCCATGTCTTTATGGGCCTTACATGTGCACTGGTATGCAGTCATCTTGTAACAGGAAGGGGCAATCCCCAAACTGCTCCCACAGAGTTGGGAGAATGAGATTGTCCAAAATGTCTTAGAGTTTCTTTCGCTGGAGCCAGTCCCAATTCCTAAAAAGCAACCCCACACAATAAATTGCCCATAGATGTGAATGGTTGTCTGTCTATGTGTTAGCCTCGCGACAGACTGGTGACCTGTCCAGGGTCTACCCTGCCTCTCGCCCTAAGGCAGCTGGGATAGGCTCCGGCGACCCCGCGACATTGAAAAAGGATAAACGAATGGATGGATAAATTCAGTTATTTTGATGGGTGGGCGAATATTTTGGCAGTATAGTGTACATTGGACACTAGGGTTTTTTTGGATCTTGCCCTTTTGCCTCCCTGCCTTGGTAGATTTTAAGGTCCATGTCTGTTGTTAGTTTTGACAAGCCACAAATGCAATTCTGCAGCTTCTTTCCTACCATCATTGATGGTCCATTATTTGCAATACTTATACTGATTTAGAACGTGGCTAAAGTCAAACCAATCCTAAATAGCACTACATCCAGATGAACAGAATTAACCTTTTTCTTTTCTTTTTCTGTTTTCCAGAGTGTCCTCCTGGTTTATATGGTTATGGTTGCCATCAGGTCTGTGACTGTCTAAATAATTCCACTTGTGATCACATGACTGGTTCGTGTTACTGCAATTCAGGTTGGAAGGGAGCTCGATGTGACCAAGGTGAGAATGTACTTCAGTAAAAATGGAATCAAACGTTGTTTAATGACACAAACTACAAACCTAATTCACAAAAACAAAAAAGTTGTGATGCTGTGTAAAATGTAAATATAAACAGAATGCAACCATGTGCAAATCAGTAATGAGCTTACCACTCAAAGACTTAGATGGAGTTTTACTTTTTCTGAAGTCCTTAACATTAGCCTTGTCTGTCCTAATAGGAATAGGCCATATTGATGTGCTATCCTAGACCTAAAAACAAAATGAAGACTTTGGAGTGGCCTAGTCAAGGTCCTGACCTGAATCCAACTGAGATGCTATAACATGACCTTAAAAAGATGGTTCAAGGTCAAACACCCTCCAATGTGGCTTAATTACAACAATTCTGCAAAGATGAGTGAGTCAAAATTCCTCCACAGCACTATAACGATAAGGCTCATTTTCATTTATCGCAAATGCCTGATTGCAGTTTTTGCTGCTAAGGGTGCCGCAAGCAGCTATTGGGTTTAGGAGGCAATCACTTTTTCACACAGGGCCATGTAGCTTTGGATTTTTTCCCCCTTAATAATAAAAATCTTCATTTAGAAACTGCATTTTGCATTTACTTGTGTTATCTTTGTTTAATATTTACATTTTATCCCAAACATTTAAGTGTTCAAACATACAAAAAAAAATAGGAAATCAGGAAGAGGGCAAACGCTTTTTCACTCATCAATAATTCAGTAGTTTTTTTTTCAGCTAGATTTCAATTTGTTTGTGTAAATAGTGAGTCTTCATCACTCAAGTTAGTCAAATAGTTCCACAGGGTTCTGTGCTGGAACCAATTCTGTTTATATTATACATGTTTTGCTTAGGCAATATTATTAAAAAAATACTGCACATACTTTCATTGCAAATTATTGCTTTCTGTTTTACTTTACATTTTACACAGCATCCCACCTTCTCTGGGATTGAGGTTATAGAGGTTTAATTTAATCAAATTTACTGATTTCTCTAATCACTCTCCATTAGAAAAACTAACTCATTTAAACTTAACAGACTCAAAAACATCTAACTCTTATTCTACATTCCCTCCCCCTCCTGTGTGCAGCTGGTGTGATTGTGGTGGGCAGCCTCAACACTTTGACTAGTGCAGCGATGCATGTAGACTCTTACCAGATTGGAGCCATTGCAGGAATCATTATCCTTGTGCTGCTTGTGCTCTTCCTTCTGCTCCTCTTCATTATCTTCAGGAAAAAGCAGAAGGGCAAAGAGCCCACCATGCCATCTGTGACTTACACTCCTGCTGTGAGTGTTGCTGCTGATTACAATATAACAGGTACATTTACATATTTACTTGTTTTAAACTGCAACTAGGTCTCATTGTGCTGTACCAGCATTATTTCTTCTAATATTTATACTGTTTTCCTTGTTTGTTTTATTGATTTTAAATGGTTAACCTCACTACAAATTTACAGTTCTAAACCTTATATTGCTAAGCTTATATTGTTAAATACCAGAGGTGTAAAATTACTTTCATAGCAAGGGAAGGAACACTGGTTATGCGAAGCTAAAATAGCAGGAGTTGACTTTCCTCGTGGTCTCAATCATTTTGGGAAGGTTTTTCTTGCTACATGGTAAAGGAATTACATTTTCACAATGCACTCTAACTCTTCATCATCACACATGTTGGACATGGTGACAAGCAATAACATTTTAGCTGTTAAAAATATAAATGAGGTTTGTTTGTTTTGTTTTGTTTTGTTTGTTTTTTTATCACTGAAGAGTTGAAGCACCTCGTACATCTCAGGGTTATGAGATAACCCCGACATCAGAACTATATTCCAATGAGAGCCTTCCAGAGGCAATTGCTTCCCCTTTCCTAAACCCTGTACTTTAATGCAGGATTTTGGCTTATCGGGGTGTAACTTCAAGGTTAACCTTGGGGTTTCTGTACTATGAAGATGGGTCACTTCTTCAAGGGGTAATTTAGGTTGTAATTTATACTGTGAAGCTAAACTGCTGCAGTGCAGGTTAGATTTGCGACACATATTAGGTTAGGTATAAAATCACTGCCTACTGACCAGTTAATTCCCCACAAAACAGCACCACCATTCCTGAAAGATCCCTAGACCTCTGCAGGTAGAGAAAGAGACCTAAAAAATGTTAGTATCATCTTAATGTTTCAGTTTAAAATAGGATGTGTGCCAAGTTTTCATTTACAACATATTTTTGGGCCTTTTCAGTTTTATTTGATAGACACAGTGAAGACAGGACAGGAAAGCAGGAGCAGAGAGAGACAAGGGGGAAGACATGCGACAAAGGGCCAGACTTGAACCCGGGCTGGCCGTTCTCAGCTGTATAGCATGTGGTCGCCCGCTCAGCGCACTGAGCTAAACCAATACCCTCTATCACAGCATAATTTAAGCACATTGGAGATTCTCTGCCGGGGGAATGCCTTTTATATGTGCAGATTATTAAGAAGATACAAATATAAATAATAATGAAGCCAAAAACCAAATAGAGAATATTTATCAATAAACAAGAAATCAAAGTCCAAGAGTTAAGAACCCTGGGGTAAAACCAAGGACTGCGACATGATTTACTTTGCTCCTCAATTAGACAGCTAACAGGTCGAAGTTAAGTAAGCTGTCTAAGCGAGCTACATGTTCACTGAGTACTTCAAAAGGGTCTTTCCACTCCTTCCTTTCCGGAGTCCAAGTCATTCCGCTGAGTTTAAGCCACTGACCCACTGGCCCAACAGTGTCCTGAAAACTTGTTTTTACTGGCATGATCATCTCCAGTGACACTCTCCCTCCTCCCACACACACAGGCAAAACAGTTTCAATTACCTCTGTTTTTGAATCTGCTGTAACTGTTACAGTTGATTAGAGTCAGTGTTCTTCTTTTCTTCAAACTTTCTGTCTACAATGTGGGCTATAAGCACAAGCAACCTGTAATTATCATTACTGGTGATTTTGGTTGAGATCTCTTGTGCTATCACTTAAGCCTTGGTTATACTTTATCCACAAGTATGAGGTGGATATCCATGGCCCTGTATTTTTCCCGGATAGTAGACTTTAAAATATGATCACAATCAAAATGTTTAATTAATCCCAGAAGAAATTATGTAATAAGTAAGAGACAAAGAAAAGTATGGAGAACGAAAAACAGGAGCAACTGAAACCGGCTTGCATGCCAGCTTACGCATGCGCATTCACTTGTGTACAACAGGAATCTCTCCAGCTGTCTGTATCTGTGTCCACAGAGTATTATCAAGGCTTAACTATCTCCATGGTGGCAAAGTGGGAGATATGATTGAAGTTCTGCCATTATTCTACTCAGACACTAATTTTTCCAGTTGGTACCAATGACGTCATGGATGAACAGTCCCTTCACTCCATGACTAACCAGAGTTTTTGGCAGTAGCAGTCCTGGAGTCTGAAGAAGAACATGTGTTTTTCTGTCTCTACCCCTATACTTTTAAAAGCTCTGAACATTTCCTTATGGTCTGCATGAATTGCTAAAAAAAAAAATTGGTAGAATGTGTAGTATTGTTATAGTATTTCATTCCTCCTTGAACTTTAACTGGAAAAATTATTTTTGATATTCATCAAAAGTCAAAACTATTTACACACCAGATTTAAAAGAAGCCATTCACAGGTCTTGGTCCTGAAGTTCTCTTTCTACCCACAGCACTACAATCCACATTCATCCATTTACTCTATACACTTTAAATACTTTATTACTTATATAAATGTTTTCTAAACTATATCCATTTAGTTTAATATCATGCACATACGCAGCTCAAGAATATTTCAAGTGAAGTTGATGCACCTGAACATAATCCAGTTTTTCATCGCTAAAGGTCTTCAGTACTTTTTAAATTAACCTCCTAGGACCGGGCGTCCACATATGTGGACATCACATTTTGGGTCGTATAGACCAAAACAATAAAGTCTGCTCTACAAGGGCCTGATGTCCACTTACGAGGACATTATACTGCCACTATTCTATTGAAATTTAAAACAAATGTTCTCATATGTGAATCACCGTTTTCTCAGAAGCAAAAAAAAAATAATTGAAAAAATCAGGTAATTCTTTGTTCTTACATTCATCAGGTCCCAATCAGCCCAAATAGCAAAGAGAAATTAAAAATGCATGCTATGAAAGAGTTCGGGTCTTAGGAGGTTAAATTTACTGCGATTATGAAAAAAATTAATTTGTCTTCTTGATTCTTGTGGAAATGAAGCTTTCACATTTTGTAATGTGAGATGTATTCTATGAATAAGTGTGAATGCATGGTAAATGCAAATAAACAACTGACGATGGGACAGATGTCTCCTACATTTGAGTGAAGCTTAACCAAAGACATGACTGTTTTATAGACTGCCCCAGAAAGCAATGACATGAAGAAATTATATACATACATGACATACTTTGTATCTAACAGCTCCTGTAAATTTTCAGGTGGTTATCCAGCAACATGTGAGCCCCATCTAAGCAATTATTTCTCCAACCCTAGTTACCATACTCTGACCCAGTGCATCAGCCCCCAGCGTGGTCCAAATGGAAAGGTAGAGATTTAAATCCTCTAAGACAGAGGGACAAGGAGATTGCAGAGTACAATTTCTGTTGACTGTCTGTAAACGCACATACTAAGAGCTATTTTTGTGCCATTTTTAGGCAAAGAACAACCAGGTTTTTGTAAACGTTAAAAATATGGATCAGAGAAAATGTGCTCTTCTTGTTGATCATACTGGCACACTACATGCAGAGTGGAAACACGGGGACTGCTTAAATCAACTGGGTGAGTTGTGGACTGCAAATATTATAATCAGCTGTTGTGTGTGTGTGTGTGTGTGTGTGTGTGTGTGTGTGTGTGTGTGTGTGTGTGTGTGTGTGTGTGTGTGTGTGTGTGTGTGAGTTTTCCTACTCCACATACCTGTATTGTGACAGACACGAACAACCTAGGGTAGGCTAAATTATTACATTCACTTTGAATGAGGCTGCTGTACATAGAGGATCCAGGTTGTGTGATGTGCATTTTTGACCTACAGTGAGTAGATTCTTGCTTGTATAGTTCTGGGTGATCACTTACATATTATGTGTGTACTAAGCAGGTATAAGGTAAGAAAACATGTTAATTTCTTTCATGTTGCTCGCTTTAGACATAAGATGATAGAATTATATTATCATTTGTAATAAGTTTTACCAGTTTAGGATGACTGTGGAAAAATATTGTGGTCTACCACATGTGTAATATGATGTTTCTGTAAGTTAAGGTGTTAATTGGTGCACCATCAGTGACTAACATACAATATCTGGTTAATGCCACCGGGTGAGGCTATATTAACAGAGAAGTCTGAGCTAATATGTCAATTTTATGAGTTTGTTTTGTGTAGATGCTTATTTGAGTTGGACAGTTGGTCAGTGTTATATGATCAATATTTTTCTTGATCTAATATTCAACATTTGTGAAAATTATTTAGATCTTGCTTGGTGCTTTCACTCATTGTCTTTCTAAAGTCCAAAGACACAACTATTGTGAGAATTTATAAGTTAACAGCGGGTGTGAATGTGCATAACATTGGTAGGATAAGCCCCAGCTGCTCTGTAACCATGAATCAGATAGGAACTGAATCGATGTAACACAAACACTGTCACCTTACAGTCACTAGTCCACATACCTAGTGCTTGTGGGTGGAGTTATGTAATAAGACTTTATTAGCATAGTGTTTGTATTGACATTAAAATAAAATAAAAATTGAATACTTTTGCTCTACTTCAGCCCCAGCTCTTAATATTATAAACGATTTTTGCCTAATCTATTTAATTAAAATCTCTCACATTATTTTTACTTTTACTGTTCAGTTATTGATCTACTGATTTAGACTTTTTGGTTTCAGGAGCCTGTGGAGGTGATAGAAGTTACATGGAGAAATCTTTAAGAGGCAAGTCCTATACATAACTATGAACTGTCATTTTTAATGTTGATATTCAGTTGTCACTGGATCCTTTGTCTGTGCTGTGCAGATCTGATGAAGGGCACACCCTATCATGCCAGCTCCTGTTCGCTCAGCAGCTCTGAAAACCCATATGCCACAATAAAGGATCCTCCCATGCTGATAACCAAAAACACAGAATGTGGCTATGTGGAAATGAAATCACCAGCTAGGCGGGATTCACCATATGCTGAGATTAGCAGCAGAAGCCCAACCAATAACCAGAATGTCTATGAAATTGGTGAGGACTGAACTCTGTTATCGCTGTCTACTTTCTTTCTGCGACATTAACTGCATAACTGCTATGCAGAACTAGGGATGGAGAATATGACGTAATCTTCAGAGTATAGTATTTATATTACTCTATTTTTCTACTGCACTATGTTAACATTTTAACACTTGAAGTGAATTGTAGATGTAGATTGCAGATTCATCAGCTATCAGTTCATACAATGTGCAATAAGAAAACATGATAAATTGATTTATATCATGCTAATGAACATTTTAAAAACCCATTCAGAGTGAAAATAGCAGAACTATGCCCTTGCAGGTAGAACAAAATTGCTGGTTGTACAGTAATTGCACTGGATTGTTTCACATTTGGTGACTGACTGCAGCAACTGGTCACCTGTAGTTTGAAAACACAATACCCTCAACCCTCGACTCCACAGTCTTGACATTACATTTTTCAGCAATGCAGTAATATAATGCATTACTATACTTAATTCAATAATCACTTTACAGCATAATTGGAACTGTAAAGGTTCTTCAGTTATCTGTGCACCAGGCAGGTAAAATAAATAATTAATTTTCATTTATTTATTTTTTTTGTTTGTTTGTTTTTGG